AGTACTAATGTCTTTTGTCATATTATGTAAGTTTTTTTTTAATAAAAAAATTTAAAATTCTTTTAAACAGCTGTTCGAATGCTATTGAAATAAAAAAAAATTCAGTCAATACTCTAAAGATAAAGAAACAAGAACCAGTTGTGAATTCTCTCTAAGGAAATCCCTTTTGGTAAAATAAATCTCGTTAAAGGAACAAGAATTAGTTGTGAAATTGTCTTTTAGTAAATAAGTAAATGCCTTTTGATAAAATAAAATTCATGTATAATTTAGAGTTTGTAACGTAAAGCAGTGTAAAATTAATGGTATGTAATTTTAACGATTTCTAATTATGTGAAAGTTTATTTGGCTAACACATATTTTTTTTTACATATTACTTGTGATAACAGCTGTTGCCAGATGCAAATAACAAGAAGTTCTTTTATGTAAACATTCTTTGATGATGGTCTTTCATTATGGAATTAGTTTTGTTCTAAAACTTGAATAAAGGATTATTTAAAAATTCAGAAAAAAAAGTCTTTGAAATCATATAAATTTAAGCATTCTTCAATTGATACATTGACAGATTTAGAATGATTGTAGTGCTGGTTAAACAATATGACGATCATAAATAAATTAGTAATTACTGAAGATTTTTATTTTAAATAAACTTTTCTCAATTCAGACTTTGATGGTATAAAGACATCAAATAACCACTTTTAATTTTATAGATAAATTACAAAATAGAGTCAATATTTGTGCTTGATGATGATGAAACTTGTCCTTCACTTGAATAATTCATAATGATAATGGTATACTGATAATGATAATGATAATAAATTAATAATAATAACAAAATTCTTATTTAAAGAGGGTAGCTAGCTACAGGCCCTCATATACATTTATGTAAGCAAAAACAGATGTTTACACATTGTCAATTTACGTATAGTTCAATGTATCATTAGTAAAGGGCAGAGGGGCCCTTTTTCAGGGATTAGGCCTTTATTTTTGTGAGAATTTGAGATTTTTTTTCACTGGAATTCAGGATTTAGCCTTATCACGACTCTGGAATTAATTGTTTGTTTTTTGTGATCCAGGAAATAATGCTTTATATTTCTTAAGAATAAGAGATGACACCTCTCATTCCACCCCTCATCAGTAAAGATTAAACAGTAATTTTAAAAGAAGTACATGTAATTGATAATCAAAATAGTGGAAGAAATTGGTACTTATCAAAATATTACTAAAAACAGTTACCAACATATATGAACTTATATCTGGCCTTTTATAGCTTGCTATGTGGTATGGTTTTTGCTCATTGTTGAAGGTCGTACTGTGACCTTTAGTTGCTAACATCTACATCATTTAGTGACAGGGGAATAGTTTGTCTCATTGGCAATCATACCACATCTAATTATTTTATATTATGAGTACTTGGTCAAGTATTTCTTCATACTTTGTCTGAAAAAGTAAAAGTGTTTTGTACTTCAAGGCCTGTTGTCACTATCAAAGTTTTCTTTGACCAAGTTTTCTTAATCAAAGTTTGATTGGAAATCCTAAGTTCTCATTATAAGAACTGATCCAGAATAAACAAAAGATCAGAGCTCATTCAATAGAGAAATTTTGACTTCAGTAGCTAGCAAATTTTTGTTTTTTTAATGTTTCTGTAACCTTAAAAAAGAATTGACCCTTGCAAGAAAATTGGTTAATACAGGAGTGATTTCTACTGTAAATTTTATTTTGACATGTAACAGTAAAGAATTGGTCTAATTTTGATACTTTAAGGTTTTACAATACAAGAAAGACAAGATGAGCTTTGAAAACTATATATAGATGCCATAATAATAAATATGCATCCAGGCAAAATAGGGTTGTTATATTTGTATTCATTCTATATAAAACTCTTGTTTTTCCGTGATGAGATCAAAACCTTGAACTATTCTGTTTCAAGGTCAGAATCTCTGTTTGACCTTGTTATTCTTTTAGTGATGTAAAAGCCAATGGCTATAAAGTACTTGTTTCCTAATTGGCACCCAATTATAAAGTTATGCACCTGGGTTAGGGGTCAATTTCCCAAGTCTTCGATTTTCTTTGAAGTTCTTTGTATATTTATCATTTCCTTTTTCTCTGTTTAGCCATGGTAATGTCTGCCTTTCTTTGGCTGATGATTTTTTTTGACGTTTTAGTATCTTCTTTTTTATAATGAACATTTTCATTTTGGAAATTGTCTTTGTTTTAAATTGTTTGTGATGTATGGTAGTAAAAAACCAACCTACTAAACATAGCACTTGGGAACCAAGTAATGAGATTGTTACGTGAAAACTAATTGTCATGCAGGGCCCTTTATAGTTATAGTATGGTATGAGTTTTGCTCATTGTTGAAGGCTGTTCGGTGACCTATATATAGTTGTGTATATCCTTGTCCTTTCATCTCTGGCGAATAATTGTCTCATAGGAAATCATACCAGATCTAATATTTATATTAAAAGGAAATATTTAGCTATCATCTATGAGACAGTAACCCAACAACACAAGTTTATCAAATATAAACAATTTGACCTCTACATGTAACATGTAGAGGTCAATTTATAACCTTAAACCATTATCTACAAAAATGTTGTGATTTATGATAAGTAAGTAAAAAATAACAACTAGATATTGATAAATCTAAGTTAAGAATTTTTCATTTTAAAAAGTCCAATGGAGGTTCATAATAGGGCTGCACAGACTGACCTATCATATATATGATGGGTATTATATAATAAGACCTGTTTCCAAAAAAAAAAATTAAGTGTTCTCTGATATTGGATTCCCTTACTTTGGTGTCAATATTTTGTGTGTGGAAATTTGAATAAGCAATGTTGAATAGTAAAGTATGCGATAAAAAATTTATGTAAAAATCTTAAAATTTAACTTTTTGCTTCATTGGTCAAATAATATGGCATAATTATTAAGTTCATTTAACAGTCCCACCCACCCAGAAATGATTTGGTGGATATAAAAATCAGTGTTTGTCCATTTCTCAGGACTTTCATCTGCCCATAATACTACCTGTATTTCTGTTCAAGTTGTATAGAGGACGTTTGGCCTACTTTTGGTTACAAATCAATTACTGCATTCCAGTTCAGTTTTTTGGGGGGCTTCATGTCAACTATTATTATATCATGTAGAAGCTCCAGTAACAACAACACTTTAAGGAATGCTCCAGTAATTTATTGAGATCGATATGTTTCAGTGGCTAGGCCACCGTCATCAGGATCAACTGAAACGTGTCCATCTCAGTAAATTTATACTGGAGCATTCCTTGAAGTGTTGTTGGTATAGGACCTTCTTCATTTTATGTTTTTATCATAACGACCCTGCATACCCGAGGTATCCACTTTATGGAATCTACTGACAGAAGATTTACCAGGCGTTGGTTCACTTGTGTTTAAATTATTATTATATCAGTAATTTCTTCTTTTTTGCCATGCTTTTGGAGAAAGACTAATTGTTTGTTGTAATATATAATGTGGAGTAATAGATCAAGTTTGTGGTTCAGTCAAGTACTTACTTTTAATAGAGTTATTTCCCTTGGATTTCATACCTGAAAGCTTTGTCTTTTTTGCTGTGGGGGTTTTGGTTGGAGGGGTATTGTTGATCCAGAATTTTTTTGGATTACAGTGACTATCAATATTTATTTGTAGCTTTTGTAATAAAATTGCATATGTCATGATATGAAAACAAACAAGAATAAAATTCGGCTCTGAAATTTGAAGAAAAAAAAATTCTTACGAACTGATTTATTTTGAGTAAGTGAATGTATTTCATACAAAGAAAGTTCTAATTCAGACGCAAACAAATATACTGAGTTACTTTAGTAAATATATTTAGTCAAATATTTGGTTTAAATTCAATAGGAAGAAATAAGTTTATTATAAAAGCCTAACTTTCTTTATTTGTTACTTTCATTATTAACAAGATAAGAGAAGATGTTTATTTTATTATAATTATTTTGTAGAAATAGATGTATATTTCATTATTATATAGATAAGAACCGATTATAATCCAGGTACAAGAGCAGTGTTGACTTTTACAAAAGCACCTGTACTCTGCATTGCTCTTTCATCTTGCTAATTTTCAATCACATGAATGCATAGTTTATCAATATAATATCCAATGATAAATTTACAAATACCCAATGTAAAATTAGGTTATTCATTTGGGAAAAAAAGTAGATCAAAATTGACAATTCTTGTGTCCTGAATTTAAATGACCTTATAATTTATATATCAGTTGTAGGTCAAGACTTTTAACTTTTATTGATCAACACATGAAAATCAATGTATTTAATAAAAAGAAAACATTTAAGTTGAATTTGTATTTGTAATGAAAATGTTTGTATTTGATTGGTTTACATATATATGCAATTGTATAAATGTTTAGCCACATTTGACATAAGAGATTATAAAAAATATGTAGAGGTTTTATAATATGAAGTTGACTACAATTAGTCAAAGATTCCATTTTACAATAGAACAGGTTCTTCAAAAGCTCCACCGAAATTAGCCCAAAAAGATCAATGTTTATATAAACAAATAAATTACAAATATTTACCTAATCTTTTGATAAGTCAGGGGTATGTAAATTAGTTATTGTTTTAAATTTTAGCATGTCTGAGCTTTTATAGTTTGCTATGTGGTAAGTGTTTTGCTCATTGATGAAGGCTGTACAGTGAACTATAATAGTTGCTTACGACCAGGTTCTTTGTTCTCAATGCAATGGCATATACTTTCCTTTTGCTCTGCTAGATGTCTGACTTTTTTTAATTCTCTCATCAAACTAGGCCACAATCATCATTAGGGTATATGGTTTAAACATTTTACTAAAACAAATCAAGGCCGGTGCTTTATAAAAATTTAAATTGATCTTTATACAATAAGTGTATCTTATCTATGATCAAAAATTGTTAAAGAAATCTTATTACAGGTAGTTTAGAGAATTTAAATTGTATTTGTTACATGATATACAATTGTCTATATTTAGTCAGATATCAGTCTATATTTTACAAAATAAGGAAGTAAAATCTGGCAGACATATTTGAAGTTTTACAAATTCATTATGGCCTGTGGAGGGGGACAGGTTCCAGTTTCCTGAAGTCTTTGTGAGGAGAACACTAGAATAGAATGGAAGTGCCTAAACTGTGATATGCTCATGTGTGACAAGTGTAAAGAGAAAATCCATGTGAAATTCAAATTTGCCAAGGATCATAAAGTTGTTTCTATCCAGGAGGTGGGGCTTCATGTAGAAGAAATAGATTTTTCCAGTATTAGCTGTAAAAATCATTTAAAACAGATTTGCTTCATGTTTTGCAAATCATGTGACTGTTTAGTATGTCCCCTTTGTATCTCCGAAACACATAATGGCCATGGTTTGGTAGCCATCAAAGAGGGATATGAAATCCATACCAGTAAATTGAAGACAGGGCAAAAGAATATAAGAACTAAAATAGATGAGCTGAAGAAAAGAAAAGCAGAAGTCAATGATATTGAAAGCACTGAACATTCAAGATTGGAAAATATCATGAAGAAAATGAAAACTCAGAAAAATGTGCTAAAGAATGAAGCTGATAAACACATAGAGAAATTAAAATCAGAAATAATGAAAAAATGGGAAGCTCTTCTTCAATCTACAAAAAAAGAAGAAAATGAAGTGACACTTCTCATTGGAAGTTTGGAATCCCAAAACTCAGAGGTTGATGATATCATCCAATCCACTGACGGCAAGAGAGTCTTTGTGGATGGTTTGGGGTTAGTTAAATCAATGGAGGAAACAATCACACCACCTTGTACAAAGTTCGATTCTATTCCAACATTTCTTCCTGGAATCATAACTGCTTATAACATTGGTTCATTAGAAAATATTACAACGAAGGGTGAAATCAAAATTATAAAACAATTTTACTCTGAAATGTCCAGCATAGATCATATAGCAGCATGTTCTGAAGATATGTTGTGGATTAATGACCTGAACATACTACAGAAAGTTAAAATAGAAGGGTGTAGATTGAAGGTAATTGATCAAAAAGAGGTTGACGTCTATGGTATGGCATGTACTCCGTCTAAAGATCTCCTTTTTGTGTCTGGAGAATCTGTACTGAAGCAGATCAGTGGCCAAACCAGTGAAGTGACTGATTCCATTTATGATGTAAAACAAGGACTAAAAATATCAGCTGTTCATGTAAATCCAGATGGAAAAGTCACTGTTGGTGCTTATGGTGGGAATATAAGCTTTCCAGCTGTAGGAAGACGGGTTGTCATTGTTATGGATAAAAGTGGAAAACATGAAACTACTTATGAATATGACAGACAAGGCAATTCTATATTTACATATATTCGTAATGTAACCAGAACAGAAAATGGTAATATCTGTGTAGTGGACCATTTATCTAAAGATTTAAGTGGTAGAGTGGTAATACTGAATGGGGATGGAAATGTTCTAAATACTTTCAGTGGCCATCCAGAAGTTAACACAGACAAATTTCCTTATAAACCATTATGTGCATTCACTACACATTCTGACAATATTGTAGTTTCAGACACATTTTCTTCCATTTTATATTTTTTTAACAGTTCTGGAAATTTTATTTTATGGTGTGATTTAAACAAAGTTGGAATATCTTCTTCGTTTTCTTTTTCTATTGCTGACTCTGGACATATTTTCATAGGATGTACAGCTCCAGGCAGTAGTGATTAAGCCAAAATATATGAAGTGAATATTTCATGACTTTAGAAAAATTTCAATTCGTTTGAGGAAAAATCTTTGGATGCTTGTACAAAGACAGTGTCTGTCTAAGTAGTTGTTTCTGTCTTTTTAATAAATTATGTTTTAAATAATAATTGCTTATAGTATTTTTAAGAGGTGATCAATTTTGAAGAGATATCACAATAACACAAGTTCATCAAAAAAGTAATCCTAAGCTTGATGCATCATATGTTTGCCATGGATAGACAAGCTTCTAAACAATTTTAAAGCTTGTATTATCTTTTGAGTCTTTAGTATGATAGCTATATTAAACAAAAAATCAAACATTGTTCAAATTAGCAAGTCACTTTATGACTTATAACAATGGACAAATAATCTTTCACCGGGTATATGGGATCCTTGCAAGATCCAAATGTCTGTCAGATTTGACCTTAACCTTATTTCATTATGTTCATAAACAAATGATGAAGGTTAAAGTTACATGATTATGTCCTTTTCTCATATATAGTTTGTGTATAGAATGAATGTAAGCTTTACATGTCTGTCTGGCAGGTTTCATCTAACCTTGACCTCATGTTCATGGTTCATTAGTAAATGTTAAGTTTTTGTGATTTGGTTTGTTTGTCTGATACTAAACGCAATATGTTAATTATATTTGATATATGGAATGATTGTTAAAAGGTGTACATGTTTGTCTGGTAGGTATCATCTGACCTTGGCCTCATTTTCATAATTCATTAGTCAATGTTTATTTTGAGCCTCTGTGACTCAATGAACTACCATATTACCTAAGCTTGTCAACACTGAAGTTGTGAGTTAGAAACCCTGCACATAGGCTGGTGTGCTCGACTTCAATCTGGGGCCTCGGTGGCAGAGTGGTCTAAGTAGTCCAACTACTGTATCTCTAGCCAGTCAACACTAAGGTTGTAAGTTAGAATCTGGCTTGGGGCAGGTGCACATGACTCCAATCTTAATCCACTAGGATTTTCAGTTTTCCTACCGAAGGTTGTAGTTCTCTCCGGGCACTCTGGCTTCCTCCACAAATAAAAACTGGCCGCCACAAAATAGCACAATAGTGCTGAAAGTTTCTGTTTGTTTCTTAGATACTATTAGCAATATGTCAACTATATTTGTTGCATGGAATGATTGTAAGGTGTACAAGTCTGTCTAGTAGGTATCATTTGACCTTGACCACCTTGACCACAGTTTTCATGTTTCATTGTTAATTGTTTATTAGGGCCCCGCTGAATGGCGGATGCCCTATAGTGATCAGTCTGTCCGTCCATCTGTCGTATCGTCCGTCCGTAACAAATTGTGTCCGCTCTATATCTAGAGAACCGTTATGATTTCAAAGTTTATACTTGACATGTATTTTAACCAACACCAGAGGGTGTGTAATATTGTATGTACAACTTCCTAGGTAAAAGGTCAAGGTCAAAAACTTTGGTTTTAGTTGACAACCCAATGTCCTATGGTAAAGATCGTGTCCGCTCTATATCTTGAGAACCGTTATGATTTTAAAGTTCATACTTGACATGTATATAAACCAACACCAGAGGGTGTGTCATAATTTATGTACAACTTTCTATGTCAAAGTTCAAGGTCATAAACTTCGGTTTCAGTTGACAATCTTATGTCCAATGATAAAGATACAAATTTTTTACCACACATTATTCACAGCAGGGCCCACAGAGATGGCTCCCATCTCAATGATATCTAGTTTTTCCTGTTTAAGTCTGTTTCATATATACTATCATTAATAGGTTAACTTGGTGTATGGAATGATTAATGTAAGGTGTACATGTCTTTCTGGCATTGATCATCTGACCTTGATCCCATTTACATGGATCACTGATAATGTTCAGATTCTGTTATACCTGTGATGCTGGTAGTAAAACCTTTATCTTAAAGACTTTCAGCATAAAATCAATCATGATCAGTAAAGCAGATTATAAATCTAAACACAAATAACAAATAAAGTTAAAAAAAGTATATGAATGAAAATAATGTACTGTAAATGCAGAAATCATTGCATGCATTTATTATTGCGATTTTTGAGGAATGGACAAAAATGCGAGATAAATTATTGCAGTTTCGGTAAAATCGGTATACAGATAAATGTATCCAAATCAGAATGCGAGTTCTTATTATTGCGATACTCACCCAGTCGCATTATTTGCATTGATAAAAACCTCGCAATAAATTTACAGTACAACATGATTTTTCGACCTATTCATGACATCATTTTGCCTGGTTAGATTAAGAGAAATCTGGAAACCTCGACAAGATTTTGTTTAACTATGGCCAGTGAAGAATTCACAATGCAACAATGGTAAACATAGATAAAAGTTTGTAACCATGGTAAATGTAAGTGTAACTATGGGCTAATTAAGTGTAATCAAGGTCAATGTTAGTAAAACCAATTTGTCTTAGTACAGTTGTAAGTGTAAACCTTGCACATCTGTCTGTCCATTTATCCGTACTGGTGTACGTTCCAACATTGGTGTCCATTCTCTAACTTTACTTTGCCTGAACCAAATGTTATGAAACTTTTACACAATTTGAATTTAGATGGAGCAACGTTCACAGTTCTCAAGTTTATATATATAATGTCCCTTTAAAAAATGGAAAAATTGCTGAATTTGCCGTTTCCACACTCTAACTAAACTTTGCCTCAATCGAATGTCATGAAACTTATACACAATGCTATTACCACCTTACACAGATCAAATTCATGTTTGTGGGGTGTCTCTTTCACTGTTCTTGAGTTACTGTCCCTTTATATATGGAAATAGACACATTCTAGTTTTATTTTAAACATTAGGTCGCTTTATGATATTCAAACTTACTTTCTTTGTTTCTTTAATTGTGACAAGTTAGAAATTTTGTAAAAGGGGACCTTGATGACAAAATGTAAATATAAGAAGCAAAAATAACTGCCAGTACCAAGGTACTACACTTGCTCAATTTGTATATGCAGTTTTTCAAAGAGAATAAAAATATTATGGTTATTTTGTAATTGGCTCATATGCACAACTGCATGTATAGTAATTAAGCTATAATAGTATGGGATTTGCTCATTGTTGAAGCTGTACAATGACCTATGGCTGCTTACGCCCATGTCCTTTGGTCTCTGTTGAATAGTTTTCTCATTGGCAGTCATACCCCATCAGCCCATCTCCTTATTTTTATAGTGTGATCTATTTCAGGCACATTGCTTGTCGCTTATCCATCATAAGTTTTTTTTAAAATCTTCACCTCTAAACTACTAGGTAAATGGGAAGCAGACCTCATTTGATTCATCTCTTAAAGGTGACTTAGTTAGATATCATTATTATATATCTGCTGATTATGTATACCAAACAATATGGTTACTGTTACTATAAATAGAACACAGGATAAAATACCAACTTTGACTCTTTCATATGCAGTTGTGCAGAATATGATCTTTTATTGACATTTGTTATAATTGGATTGGATGAAGTTGGTCATAATAAATTTTCTCAGGAAAAATTGGCATCAATTTAATGAATTATTCGATGAGGTATACTTTGAAATGAATAGTGAAAATGCTGATAATGATGACGATGACGAGAAGGTGATGCAGACGAAACTGAGGAAGAGGAAGATTAATGTATAAAAGACTATGCAAAAAAAAGAGATATATAAGAAAATGTTTTTTTAAGGGTTTGATTTTGTCTGTTTTAAAATTTGACTTATTTCTTGTTTTGTGCAAAAGAAAAAAAGGTCTGTGTTTCTAGGAAATTTTATATCAGTGTATAAATCAAATTTATGAAAGGAAGTTTTAAAGTAGATGTGTTACATGGAATTCATTGCCTGACATCAATAAATTAAAATCTGGATTTTGAAACTCCTTTTCAGTCTTCACGATAAACTTTTGAATCTACACGCCCAAAGCTGAATTTTACGAAAATTTAAGTCAGATTCTATTGGCCTGTAGAGATGATTTTTACAGGCCCGAAGGCATTTTGATAAATCTGGGCTGATGGGCCTGTGGTTGAGCATGAAGACTGCCTTTTCTTTGAACACCTTTTCCTAATATTTAGGGTTTCATTGAAATCTAGTGATTATAAACCACTTTTGTACTTTTATCAATTTATCTCTGAATTTAAACATTTACCGTAGAATTTTTTTCGAATTCTAATTGGAACCATTTTAAACAAGACCATCATTAACCTTTTTGATTCAAGTGTTGCTGGTGAGTCTTTTGTAGAAGAAACAAGCTTCTTGCGTACAAAATTTGAGTCCTGGTATCTATTTTACAACCACTGGGTCCTTGCCACTGGTAGTTGAGGTTTCGTCCCCTAAGGTATCACCAGCCCAGTAGTCAGCACATCTGTGTTGACATGAATTATCAATCCTTGATATGGTCATTATTGAAAATTAACTGTTTACAAAACTTTGATTTTTTTTCGAAATACTTATAAAAATAGAATACCTAAGCTGTATTTTGCAAAACCTTTCAGAATTTGAGTCCTCAATGCTCTTCAACTTCCTACTTTGTTTGGCCTTTTTAACGTTTTTGATTCGAGCGTCACTAAAGAGTCTTTTGTAGACAAAACACGTTTCTGGCATACACATTTTTAATCCTGGTATCTTGATGAGTTTATTGATATTTAAAGGGATCTTCCAAAATATACTGTAAAGTAAAGTAAATTTGCTTTCCAGTTTTCAAATCAATCCGACCTTGAAAAATAAATCAAAAATGTCATATGCCATTGAATGTCTAAATGCATAAATCAGTAACTTGCTGCTGTGAAATTCATTATACATATATATATATATAATTATGTAGTTTTAGGTCTGAAGAGGGATTTAAGTGAATTAATTATCTCAAGGCAGTCTGGCAATGGAGTTGTCTGCCCTTGACAGATATTAGAACCTGTTTATATGCTATGCATTATGAGGTAACAAGTCTATACAAGTCTGTAACGGTATTGCTGTTAATCAAATGACATTTCTAACTATTTATTTAGTGTCAGTTAAGCCGGAAACAAATTATTTTAAGCAAGACATTGTTTCTGAGACTATCATGGAAGCTTAAAAGTCTGGTCAAAAAAGGAGGACCCGAGTTTTACAAGTTGACAGATAACAGCAGACAAATTTGACTTCAATTCAGGTCTCTAGGTTTGGGGTGGGGCAGGTCCTTTATTTCTTCCTTTAACATTAATGACCAATTTTCTCTACTCTTTTTTAAGTTTACCATTATTCTTCGCTAATTAAATAATTTGTTCTCCCTTTGTTCTGCACTTTTTGTCCATTATTCTCTATTCTATATAACCCAATCTAGACATCCATCCATACTCTTATGTAGCATGCTAGACTTAGTTACACAGCATTGTTAAATCGGCAGTTGTTTCCAACTGTAGTATGTTTACTTCCCCCAGTTCAAATACAATATTTTTCACATAAAGGTATATGGTTTTTTTTTAAGACAAGGTCACTTGATGATATCCCAACTTACGTAATATATTTAATGTTTGCTCACCAATGATCAGTTTGAAATTTTGTAAATGGGACTTTGATGATAAAATGTATATATTTGTAACAAAAATAACTTAACAGTACCAAGTAACTCTATTGTATATGCAGTTTTACAAAGTATATATTTTGAAAAAAGTGGAGACGATAACTAAACTAAACTGTTTTTCATAAACTGTTTTGTTATAAATTAGGCCATTAGTTTGAACTGTTTCACATTTTTTATGTCGGGGCCTTTTATAGTTGAATATACGGTATGGGTTTTCTCATTGTTGAAGGCCAAACTGTTTCACTTTTGAACTCTGTTGGATAGTTGTCTCATTGGCAGAAATTACCACATATCCTTATTTTCATAAGGGTCACAGTTAAGTAACCTATAAGTCAAATAAAAATAGACAAAACCATTGAGGTCCCAAAGAAAGAAGGAACACAAAAGTCTGAAAAATACTACACAGAATATTGAAGTTTAAGCAACATGAACCCCCACCCCGCCGAATAAAAAAAATAAATACTGTTTTACACAAATAAAACCATTTTTTTTCACAAGTAAAGCATTGCCTGACATCAGTTCATAAATTCCTATTCACACTGTGAATTATTAGTACCAGTGTTTTGTCGAATGATTTCAAACAGAAAAAAGTGAAAATACCTGTCGGTTTTTAGTGATTTTATCTAGAATTCGAACAGTAAATATCGCCCAACAAATTATGGAACTAAAACTTGTACTTATTAACCATCTGTTGATTTTATTAGTGGACATAACAAAATGCTTGTTGGCCATTCTAAATGACAAAATCAATACTTCTGTCTCAAAACTACTCTGTGTTTGTCTCCGATAACAGGATATATTCTAGGACAAAAGTGTACAATACAAGTATTTCATTATATAAGTCTGTGTTTGTCTCCGATAACAGGATATGTTCTAGGACAAAAGTGTACTAATACAAGCATTTCATTATATAAGAGTGGAAACAATCTAACCCTGATAGTATTGTGGAATAGCTATTATTATTGCATGATCCAAATTATCACTAACATTTTGTATGGCATTGACTATTCGTCTTTTGTAGGGGGATTGGGTTTTTTTACGTTGTAATCAAAAAAGGAAAAAAAAAAACTTTTTTTGAAACTTTATGTTGAATTTTTTTTTTCTGATTTATAATGGACTAGAATTTTTTATCTCCCACTAATTTTCAATGGCAACAATCTATTATTTTTACTATACCTTCTGACAGAATCAAGTATTTTTTCTTCAAGACATTAATTGGAACAGAGTATTTATAAAATTTCATACCCACCCCCCGCCTCTCCTCCCCCAAAAAAAGAAGAAAAAAAAAAGATGAATGTAAGTTGCTTAACTGGGCAAATATATACTAATTAAAAACAACAGCCAAATATGTATAATGTGTGGGCTATAGTTTGTCTCTTTGAATTAATTGTTTCACATTTCGTTATCCTTGAACTTTTTATAGCCAAATACAGTACAGTAAATTAGGTTTTGATCATTGTTGAAGGCTGAACAATGACCTGTGCTGTCAACATCTTTTTCCTCTAGTCTTTGATGGATAGTTGTCTAATTGACAATCACACCACAACTCCATATTCTTATAAAATTGCTTGGTTTCCATGGTAAAAAAAAAAACATTATATAAAAAATTGCATATCAAAAGAAGATTAACAGTAATATTTCACATATACTTTGATAACTTGTCACTTATCTAGAAGTGTCAACAATGACATCACAAACTGTTTTTATGTTGACCTTGGTTAGATAACACAGGTATCATCCAATACATGTATGTACTGAAGGAGCATGTTTATTCAAAATGAAATTAGTTATATTATCCTATCAAGTGTTTCTGAAAACTTCCAAAAGTCCAAAACTTATATTTATCAATGATGAAATTTTTTGTACAAGTGAACTTTATTTCTTACTATAGGTTAACTATTTAGTGATTTATATCTTTCATTTCATAATCTAAAACACTTATATTTATAGATTATATTTTACTATATGTTCATCCAATAAATTATGAACAAAATATGAATAATAGATCTAGATCATATCTCAAGCCAAGAAAAACTAATTTAAGGGTATACATGTACTAAATAAAATGTTAGATACAGCGTACTTACCATGAGTTGAACACTATGGGTGCCACATCATTCATTCAATATCAGTATAAATATAAAAATATTGAAATGGGGTATGTTTGCCAATGAGACAACTTTCCACTAAAGTTCAAATGAAGTTTTTTTTTTTTTTTAAATTCAGGTTTTACCATGCAACAATCAAGAAGGGTTACAGAAATATATGAATTGGTCTTTATTTCAGGACTTAGACTTGCTACAATTCCCTTTCTTTTATTTCTTTCCTGCCATGATACTGAATGCCGGAGTATACTGGTTGCCCTTGGGGAAGGTGTGAATATAATGGCAATTTCTTTGTTATAGCAGTGAAATTGTTGAAGAGGTAAAATTGAAGAAGAAGAAGAAAGAAAATTAGGATGGGACATGTAGCAAGTCTATTCAAGACTGTCAACATTGTCTGTGGCAAATTCAGACTACTTTCACTTATTGAAAAGAAATTAACTAATTTGAAAACAAATCTCATGAACTTTGGCTGCAAATAGAAATTCGACCTTCAAAAAAAAGAGGCTAACTATACCAAAAGGGAGAATCAAAACTCAAAATGTCTAGCAGAGACCTATAACATCATGGCAAATAATGATGATGATGATGAATGGCTGCTTAACGTCTGGCGGCAAATTAATATGCATATTCAGGACTAGAACATGTAACTGTAATACAAAATTTAGCCCTGCTTTGTACTAGACCGTCACGCTGAGCTTGATTTTTAACGTGCTAGTTCACAAGGTAACAGTTCTCATAAAGACATATCACCTTACCCGCGAACCGAACCCACGACCTCCTTGACTCGAGGTGAACATGCTACCATGAGACCACCGAGGCGGTTGGCAAATAATGAAAATCAATGATAAGTCAAACAACAGTGTACTGTAAACATTCACCAAAGCTACATAAAAAGCTTGACTGACCAACATTAACCTTACCAAAACTAGGGGGTTCTCATGTGCATTGGAAGGGTAAGCAGCTCCAGCTCCACATGTGGTACCTGTCATGTTGCTTATGGTAAGAAATGCATAGATTTTATTAGGTTCATGTATACCCCTGGACTGGTTTTTCTCTGTTTGAAATATGATATTGATCAATAATTCATATTTTGTTAATAATTTACCAGATGAACATGCAATATTGTTTTTTCCTTGACATATATATGTATATAATTAGATTTATTGAATTATTTTATTTGATATACTGACATATATTGTAGATATTTGTACAAAACATGTGTTACTTGTCTAAAAAAAAATGTTTCATTGATTTGGCAAAGATTTGTTTTTCATTAATATTATATTTGAAGGTCATTTAGAAAATTTAAGCAAGAAAATGAGGTAGAAATGAACCAAAATATCTGAAATAATCCTCAAAAGACTTAAATTACCTGGAAAATACACATTTATAATAGGGGGTCTCATAGGGGGGTTCTGATCCCGGATCCCGCTTACTGTTTTGTCAGATTCCCATATCCCGCTTACACTATGTACGTAAGCAATTCTTATTTTTTTGTAATTTCCCGTGTCCCGCTAGACTTCATTTCCCGTTTTCACGGCACAATAATTTGACTTTCACGTGTCACGCTTACAAAAAATCAGAAATCCCGGGTCACGCTTAGACCCCAATGAGACCCACATAATACATAAATAAATATTATTTTAAACTAAATAACCAATTCTTGATGGCTTCTCCACTAAAATGGATCCACAAGGGAATGGGAGTGTTCTTTGAAAGCCCACAAAATGCATATTATATATTGTGTTGAAATTCTCAATAACCTTTTTTCTAAATTTTCATAACAAACGGGAATTTGACCTTTTTCGTAAAATTTAACAAGGGTTTTACATTTTTAATTCATTGTTTTAACTGATTGTACAGAGTTTAAAACTTTATGAAAAATTTTCATGAAATCCCTTTAATTTTTCAGGAAAATAATTATTTATTAATTGTGAAATAAAATTTGATATTTCAAGAGTTGATATTAATGTATTGCACAATCAGATGATATCCAGGAAGTATATGTGTGTCGAAAACAAAAGTGAAAGTAAAAGATAATTTCAAATCAGATATATGTATTGAATTTCTGTAAATGTCATTTTTGACTAGACAAAGTTATATATATATATGTATCACTTTTTTGTTAATTTGATATTACTTATCAATGAGGTAGAAAATAAGTATATTATATAACAGTGATAGATTTGAATGCTTCCAAAAACTATATTAATTTGAAAATAAAGGAAACTTTAAGCCCAAAAGTAAGGACAGAACTGCAGAACTAAATTAAATTGCCATGGCCGATAGATCATATGTCCTTATTGTCATTAAGAGAATGAATTTCACAACTCTATATATATTAAATCCCAAGCTAATTTTCAATTTCATAATGAATTCCAGAAAATGTAGTTGAAATTTATTTTTTGGAATTCAAAGTGTGAAACAATCATTAAATTTAAAAAAAAAAGTAGTTGAGAAAATATTTATAAATCAAAGTGTGAAACAATCATTATTTTTATATCTTGTCCAAGCAGTATAACAAATTCTTTCCCATGATAAGATATAAATATAAATATATCATGATTTGTATACATGTACTTATAATTGTCTTATCAGTATATAGGTTATAAAGTGTGGTGTCCTGAATCTGTCCTTAAATCTGTCACAAAAACAAACACTTGTAACCCATAATCAATTTGTTTCTTTTATTGGAAGGCTATAAGGAATTTAATTAGACAGCTTGGGTCTATATTTGGCATTACCTATTTAATATTTCATTTGTCTTTCTCATATAGAATAAGGTTAAATTGTATTAGGTTTGTTTAAATCATGTATGAGGGTGTGGATGGGGGGTCCTTCATTTCTGAATTCTTCAATTTTTTGGCCCATTTTTCTCTTTTCTTTATATTTTTGGTCCATAATTCTTTATTCTTTATATTTTAGCACCCTATTATTCTCTATTCTTGATTTTTTGGGTCCATTTTTCTCTATTCTTTAAATTTTTGGCCCTTTATTCTGCACTTTTAACCCATTATTCTATATTCTTTAAACCCCATTCAGACCCTCGTGTATGTTCAATGCCCCTGTTTCTACGATATCATGTCCACCAGAAATATCCTGTATATACCAAACGATAAATTTTAACTTGAAACACTTGTTATGTATAAGGTGAGAGAGTTCAATAGTAGACCAGTTTATTTTTATATTTAGGGTTGATTTATTGCAGTAGCAGATCCAGGGGCTGGTGTAGATTCTATACCCCCTTTCTCCTTTGATCACCACAAAAAAAAGTAATAAATCATGTTTATTATGAAATTATCCCCCCCCCCCCCCTTTTTCAAAAATCCTGGATTTGACCCTGCATTGTAAGTATTTTTTACCCTTTACTGCCAGCATATTTCAACTTATGTTTTTCTTTCAAAATTTGAAAAATAATGATGCAGCATATTTGTAAATTCCTCTTAAACCAGTTACCATTGTATAAGTGTCAGAGGCCTTTTCTTTTCTCAAAATAGGGGACCCTGCAGTACTTAATGGTTCAACTTTGGTAAAATGTTAGGATAAGGTTTGTTTTAGGTTAAGTTTAGACTTTAGGGTTTGGACTTAAGTGTTGGGGTAAGGTAAAGTTGAGGATTATTTTAGTAAAGCCCTTATAATAAGCAATGGTGGGTCCACTTAAGTAAATATAGGTCATATGCATACATTCTTAATATGACATCAGATATTTCTAATAAAAAAAAAAAAAAAAAAAAAAAAAATTATTTTAAAGTCTATTTTGCTCTCCACACATTTATGATCATATGATTTCTTTATAAATTTAATTTTTTCATTTGAAGCTGAGAAGAACAAACTAAAGATGCTTGCCAAAACACAAAATTTTAACAAATAAAGGAAACATATTCTGATCCAGCAAAGGTAATATTGACCATGTTTTTATAACTTTTTCTTTATTTTTGCCGTGTCATGGTCATATTGTTGTTGTTTATCTAACTGCTTCTCTATTCTTGCTGAGTCATGGTCATAACTTGTACACATTGGATCACCTAAATAACTTGTGATGTAGTTTTCAACCTTAAATTGTGACATTTGTTAAACCTTGCTATACTTGTATCATAGCAACACAATCATTTGTATAACATACCAAAATAGATGGAAAGTTACTCATGATGAAAATGTGGAAAACTTCACCTTAGTTCACTAGTACTTGAATAGAAAATGGAAACAGGGAATGTGTCAAAGAAACAATTAATTACAACCCGACCAAAGACCAGAAAACAATCCAAGGCTACCAATGGGTCTTCAACGCAGTGAGAAAATCTCTATATGTTGGTTAAAATTCTGATCAGGCAATAATTGAAGAACGGTATGCATCCCGATACCTGACCTTACTCTCTATTTTAAGTGAGCTACATCCTGGAATTTATTTTTCACATCACTTTATAGTTTTTCCTGGAAAATGTTGCATTTTGTCTTTTCATCATCACGGTGTTTGTACATAAATAAACTTATCACTTTGATTCACCTGCATTATGTTACAAGTTTATAACAATCTGTACATCTACTCCCTTAATAGATCAATATCTCTTCAATGATATCGTAAATGTATATATATATATATTAAGATCCATTTATTACATCAGTGATCCGTTTATTTGGCAATCGCCAATGGCAGTCAGCAGGGTTTAAGAACATCAGTTGTTCGACCTGCTAGTCAAATGCGTTTTGTTAAAATATACTTTTTCACTCATTTGGTCTTTTGGAAAATGTTGTTTTTTTTTTTTTTAACCTATGATTGCGTTGGATAAAAACCGCAATTTTTATATGTGTGCATGCAAAACAAACAAATCTAAATTGAAAACAACGTTCAAACCTATGATTGCGTTGGATAAGAACCGCAATTTTTATACGTGTGCATGCAAAACAAATTTCTTGGTAGAGGGGTCTAAATACAGCACAAACAACATTTTCCAAAAGACCAAATGAGTGAAAAAGTATATTTTAACAAAACGCATTTGACTAGCAGGTCGAACAACTGATGTTCTTAAACCCTGCTGACTGCCATTGGCGATTGCCAAATAAACGGATCACCGATGTAATAAATGGATCTTAATTATAAATTTAATACTAAACAGAAAACAATAAAGTTGCGGAAAAGATGGTATACCGCAAACAAAAGGTGCAAAGGTTTTTGTACACCATATCCGGATTTCGACAATTAATGTCTCTTCAGTGATGTTAGGAATCAAAACGGTATTTGGAAGGCCATATAATTTACCTCAATTTAGGATAGACTCTTGAATTTTGAAAGAGTCAAAATAGGATGAACGGATCATATAAACCCGAAGGAAAATATAATACAAGCCCAAACGAAAAAATATAAACAAGTCTAAATTGAAAACAACATTCAAACCTATGATTGCGTTGGATAAAAACCACAATTTTTATACGTGTGTATGCAAAACAAATTTCTTGGTAGAGGGGTCTAAATACAGCACAAACAACATTTTCCAAAAGACCAAATGAGTGAAAAAGTATATTTTAACAAAACGCATTTGACTAGCAGGTCGAACAACTGATGTTCTTAAACCCTGCTGACTGCCATTGGCGATTGCCAAATAAACGGATCACCAATGTAATAAATGGATCTTAATTATAAATTTAATACTAAACAGAAAACAATAAAGTTGCGGAAAAGATGGTATACCGCAAACAAAAAGTGCAAAGGTTTTTGTACACCATATCCGGATTTCGACAATTAATGTCTCTTCAGTGATGTTAGGAATCGAAACGGTATTTGGAAGGCCATATAATTTACCTCAATTTAGGATAGACTCTTGAATTTTGAAAGAGTCAAAATAGGATGAACGGATCATATAAACCCGAAGGCAAATATAATACAAGCCCAAATGAAAAAATATAAACAAGTCTAAATTGAAAACAACGTTCAAACCTATGATTGCGTTGGATAAAAACCGAAATTTTTATACGTGTGCATGCAAAACAAATTTCTTGGAAGAGGGGTCTAAATACAGCACAAACAACATTTTCCAAAAGACCAAATGAGTGAAAAAGTATATTTTAACAAAACGCATTTGACTAGCAGGTCGAACAACTGATGTTCTTAAACCCTGCTGACTGCCATTGGCGATTGCCAAATAAACGGATCACCGATGTAATAAATGGATCTTAATTATAAATTTAATACTAAACAGAAAACAATAAAGTTGCGGAAAAGATGGTATACCGCAAACAAAAGGTGCAAAGGTTTTTGTACACCATATCCGGATTTCGACAATTAATGTCTCTTCAGTGATGTTAGGAATCAAAACGGTATTTGGAAGGCCATATAATTTACCTCAATTTAGGATAGACTCTTGAATTTTGAAAGAGTCAAAATAGGATGAACGGATCATATAAACCCGAAGGCAAATATAATACAAGCCCAAACGAAAAAATATAAACAAGTCTAAATTGAAAACAACGTTCAAACCTATGATTGCGTTGGATAAAAACCGCAATTTTTATACGTATGCATGCAAAACAAATTTCTTGGTAGAGGGGTCTAAATACAGCACAAACAACATTTTCCAAAAAGACCAAATGAGTGAAAAAGTATATTTTAACAAAACACATTTGACTAGCAGGTCGAACAACTGATGTTCTTAAACCCTGCTGACTGCCATTGGCGGTTGCCAAATAAACGGATGACCGATTTAATAAATGGATCTTAATTATAAATTTAATACTAAACAGAAAACAATAAAGTTGCGGAAAAGATGGTATACCGCAAACAAAAGGTGCAAAAGTTTTTGTACACCATATCCGGAATTTCGACAATTAATGTCTCTTCAGTGATGTTAGGAATCGAAACGGTATTTGGAAGGCCATATAATTTCCCTCAATTTAGGATAGACTCTTGAATTTTGAAAGAGTCAAAATAGGATGAAAGGATCATATAAACTCGAAGGCAAATATAATACAAGCCCAAACGAAAAAATATAAACAAGTCTAAATTGAAAACAACGTTCAAACCTATGATTGCGTTGGATAAAAACTGCAATTTTATATATATATATGTATACTTTTATTGTACAATAAAGATATTATCTATGTAATGAGATTGGATGTTAAAGCTAAGTAATGTTCAATCAATTATCCTATAGAAAATATTAAAATCATATTTATATACAGTAATTATTATTTTATAAATCAATTCAGCGTGTTCATATAGAAATAAGGAGATGTGGTATGATTGCGAATGAGACAATTATCCACCGCAGTTCAAATGAAGTGGATGTAAGCAATTATAGGTAACTGTACAGCCTTCAATAATGAGAAAAACCCACATATTGGTTTTTATTGTAGCTTTTCAAAATGTTGAGTAGAGAATCACAAAAAAATAGGAAGAGCAATTTTGATCAAGAACAGTAATTTGTAAAAACTTCAATAGAAAGGGAGTGGCTGTGGAAATAAAAGGACCTTATGTAGGTCAAGTAAAGTACATTAATAGGTCACCACTTTCAGTTTTTCTGTTGTTGTAATTCTGTCCACTTCTTATGATTTTTACATATTTCTTGTCACTTTTTATTAAAAAAAATGACCCCCCTCCCCCTCTTAATAGTTTTCCATAAAGTATTTGTAGATTATTGTTTATCTATTTGTCTTTTCTTCTTTAGCCATTATTTGATGTTAAAGAGAATCCCACCTTCCTAAAATCAACTTCAACACTTTTGTGAGTAAATGAATGCTAGCAATTAATTAAAGCGATTTCTAAAGGAAAATTGAGAGAAAACCATATTTCACTTGCAATGGAGAAAAAAATGTTCTGATGATATAACAAAGTTTTGTCTGGTATTATGTAAACTCATTATGCATTATATAACAAAAATCTTTATTTTCAGTACTCATTTAACGTTATATAACAGAAATCTTTAATTTCAGTACAGCTTATCACAAACAAAATATACATTACATAAAACATATACTGGAAATTCAAAAATTATTACAAGGTGTTTATTAGTGCAATAATGCGACTGGGTAAGTATTTCAAATTAATAAGAACTCACATTCTGATATCCGATATCTGAGAGCAAATTTCCTACATTGCAAAATAATCTAGCATTTTTTCCTTTCCATTTAAAAATTGCAATAATAAATCCACACAATGATTTCTGAATTTACAGTATACAGTATTTCTAATGAAAAGAATGAAACCAATGACCCAGTATTCCAAGGACATTTTTGCATCTTAAACTGATCTTAAGGCCAAAAATAAAATTAAAATTGTTTGATGTTCCCTACCTACCCTCCTAAAAAGCAGCCTACCCGAAAATTTAATGACACATATCGTTTCAGATCTTTTTTTTTTTTTTTTTAAATTCTGCTCTTACTTTGTATTCTTGTCTAAAACATGTAACTTATGTTGCTTGTCAAAATAAAAAATCCCTATGTAACCTACTCAACCCTACAAGGCATGGGTAGACAACATCAAACAAATTTTTTTTTAATGGTAACCTAAAAAGGAACCCAGACTTTATACCTGTGCAAAATTTGTTTAATTGAGAATACGTTTTTTTTTTTTTTTTTTGAAAGTGAAACTCATGAAATCAGTATTTGGAGAGACCAATTCAGACATACAGCAATGATCATTATGTCTTCTGTAAGTCAATAACTGTGAAAGTAGTGGGTGACTTATATCATAAATAATTGTAATTGTTGGTGTAATTATGAAGTTATTCCTTATCTCATTATGATATCCTAATTATGATACATAATTGGTGTAATTGATTTATTTTGAATGATGGGATTGTTGAAGGTAGTTTTATTGTATCAGTTTATTAGAGGTAGGATAGGTCAGTAGGTGGTCAGTTACATTTAGACTAAATTTCTGTCCATATCCAATATACCATCATTTT